AGTGGGAGGCTCATTGACGCAAAGTCTTCTCCACCCTCATGCGATTAACATAAAGTGTCCTCAATTTAATATCTTTGCCTCACTCTCTCCTCCCATTCACTTTAATTACTGAGATATGAAGGCAAATATCGCGCACTATGGCCTGCTTTTGGGACTTTCCACAGTTCATAGCTACGGATATCTTCGAGACCTTAGAGACGTAAGTTGACCGTTAAAGTTGAAATAAAGAGGTTGAAGTTACTCCTTTGGTTCATTCTTATGTGATACCTCATAAAAAGTCCCGTGTATGAGTCGGATTTGGGCAGAAATGCGCATTGGTGCATGACTGTTCGAAGTGGGCTTTAATCCACTGGAACTTACCTAGGCCGGGGCAAATTTGTTAGTTAAGCAAAAAGTACCATTTTGAAAGTAAGGAAAACTTGTCGAAATTAGGCTTATTGAAAAAACAGACGGACCTTAAAATATATGTTTTCACTAGATTCAGTGACTTGGACTCCTCAGTCACCGAATGAGGGCATATTTAGCAGTCATCTTCGTTTTACTCACTCTGCATACAGAGGAGAATCCTTTTAAGGATCGGAGAGGAGTTCGATGATCTGAACTACAAACAAGTACAAACAATACTTTAGCAGTTAGTATGGGGAAAAATGTACAAAAAAGGCATTAAGGCTTAAATGCAACCCCATGGAACCTTTGTCATTCACATCTTACATAGGAATGGTTGCACATGCCCCATCTGACAGTTTTGAGGAGAGCCAGAACTTGGCCTTTGAGAGAGGGGATTTTGTCTCAAGATATCTTCACCAGTTGATCAAAACCAAGATATGCTAAAGTAAAAAAGGGGATTAAATGGTGCTTGTGTCTGATTGCCCCTAGTAAGCACTCCCAGATGTTGAAGATTCACTAATGATTTCGAGAATTTGTGACTTGTTTGCCTAGGTCAAGCATAAGAAGAGACTATCTTTAATCCACTGGCAAGTGGCTGCATATGTATGACCCACCTGTAATTTCGACAACTTTAATGGTCTCTTCTCAAAAGGCGCTAATCATAAATCTTGAGGACTAAGTTTCTAAAGGAAAAGGATTGTGTCAGTTAACCACAAAGCAAATAACACTTGAAAAGGCATGATTAATACTTTTGAATTTGGGCTTTAGAATAGCATCTGCAATCAATTTAATTTTATTTCTTTGTTTGCAAAAAACTGAGAAATTAATCACTGTGTGATATTAGTTATGTGCCTTAGGCCTTCAATGCGTCACAAAACTTAGAGAGGAGAGAAAAGCATGAGAAGGATTCTATGCATAAACCAAAGGCACATAGAACGTCATTTCAGCAGCTAAATAGCAAAACTTTTGGTAGATTTAATGCACAGTTTTTATATGCAGTGTGTTAGTATATCTCCTCTCATTAGTACTCCCTTCACTAATAGGAGGCTCATTGACGCAAAGTCTTCTTCTTCCTCACGCGATTAACATTAAGTGTCCTCAACTAAACAACGTTGTCTCACTCTCTCCTCCCATTCAATTTTGTTACCGAGATGCAGAGATAATTATCGCGCACTGTGGTATTAAATTGTATGGGGCTGCTTTTGAGACTTTCCCTCGGAGGCACAACTAGACAGTTGAAGATGAGATTAGGGGGCTGCGGTTAGTCGTTCGGTTCACGTTTAGCTAATAATTCGCACAAATTTCTGTCTTGGGGTGTGAATGGAAGGAAATGAGCATTGGTGGGTAAAGGTTCAGAGTAGGCTTTAATCCACTCAAGATTGCATTGGCGGGTGCAAAATTCTCATTCAAATGAATAGCGGTAGTTTTACAAATAAGAGTAACTTGTTCAAACCGCTTTCATTTAGGTAAGGAGAAGGTTCTCAGAATATTATTTCTTACTGGATCTATTGACTTGGACTCTCCACTTACCAAATGAAGCCATGTTTTGCAGTCACCTTCGTTCCATCCACTCTGCATACAGAAAAGAATATTTTTAAGGGTCGAAGAAGAGTCCGATGGTCAGAACTACAAACAAGCAAACAAAAGCAATGCTCCAGCATTAAATACGGGGAAAAAGCATGAAAACCGCACTAGATCTTAGATGTTATCTCTTAGAACTCCCATTCTTTTTTATTAAAATAACAATGTTTGCACATGCCCCATCTGTCAGTTTCGCGGAGGGTCAGAACTTGACGTCGGAGAAAGGAAACTACATTTTAAGATATCTTTATCAACTGATTAAAACCAGGATACTTTGAAGTAAGAAAGGGGATTAAATGGTGCTTGTGTCTCATGGCCTCTAATAAGCGCACCCTGATGTTGAAGCTTTACTGGTGATTTCGAGAATTTGTGACTTGTTTGGCTAGTTTACGCATAGGAAGAGACTGCATTTAATCCAGTGGCAACTGGCAGTATACGAATAACCAAACTACAAATTTAACACCCCTAATGCTCTCCTCTCAAAAGGC